AAATTGTGATTTTAATACGAATACAAAATAGGCCTGGAAGAACTTTAGGTGTTAAATGCACATGGGAATCGCTTTTTATGACCACTGTTAATATGACGAAGTTTTATTCGTCATTGCAAATACTGATTTTATAAAAATCCAGAGCAGAATTTCTGGGTCGAGTATGACTCTTTTGTGCCGAAATAAGCCCAAAAGTAGGCATTTGAAAATGCAGTTTATGACTATGAAAGTGCAATTCACAATTAGAATGATTGCGTTTAACTTTCCGGTTGTTCCGGTATGTTATTCTTTAATAAAATGAAGCTTTAACTTTGGTTTTGGAGAAACTTTAACCTCGTACTGTGACAGTTGGCATGAACCTAATTTGTTCTACTGTACTCTTCTCCTGTAAATTAATACAGTACTTAAATTGGTACTCGGAAGTCTACAGTACATAAATTGGTACTCAGAAGATCCGAAAGTGATCCCTTTTTACTGCTGCATGGAAATGCAGCAAATTGGATCAGTTATTTCTAGGGTTTTCGCATTTCGTGTCACTACTTTCAAAATACGTTTGACCGATGGTTGTTCTGACGATATCGGTGAGTGAAGTTTCGGCTCTTCATGGAGGCTCTGGAGCTCACGTGATCTGAAATGTGACCATGTAAGGATGGGCGTCACGCGGTTTACAAATGATTCGGCAGTACACAACGTTTTCTAGAAAAATGGCACACATAAAATTTTCGCACTAGACCTCATCATTTTCCGCGGTTCACATCGCTGGTAATAGGGAGCTTACGCAGGCATACTTCTGTAAAATTTGAAGCAGAATTCTTCAAACAAAACTACACTGAAAGCTTTATTGCAGAAATCTGTAGAAAGCATGTGATCAAAGATGCGGAATTGTGACCAGTTAGTGAAGACCTTTCTGCAAAGATGTGAGGAAAGCAATGTGACAGCTGTCCTATTTTCCGCGGGGGATAAATTGGAAGAAGACAGTTGCGCGACAGGGACAGGATCCTCTCATCGGGAAAAACATGGCTGAAGTAATCCAAGATAAGACGAGGGAGACCGATTCACAGGCAACTGCAAAACCTGGCAGAAGCTCTCGCTTTACTGCTGCGCAGGATCTCGTCATTGCGCGAGAGGTGGCTGCATCTAGGGCGCACACAATGCAGCTTTTGGTGAAACAAAGAAGCTATTTGAGGTGGCTGCGTCGAAGATTTCAGCGAATCCGGCATTCGATACAGAAGGCAAAAATGTAAGTTGGAAGGCGGTGCAGGACAGGTACAAGAGGCTACAAATGGACTACGATCATGCCGACAATGCTAACCAACGATTGTCTGGTGTTGGTGGGGGTGAAATGGGAGAGCTAGCTGACCTTCTGATGACTATGAGAGAAGCACACGATGACTTGGACGTGCAAAAGAAGGTTGCTAAGACAGCCCAAAGGAGGAAAGAAGAAGACAAGGAAAGAATGGGAAAGGTCTTGGTTGACTTGGCGACGAAGCGCAAAAACAAGAGCGATGACGATGATAACGCCACAGAGGTATGCGACGAGGAGCCCTCAAGTAGTGCGAAAAAGCGAAAGAAGAGACAAACTGCACTTCTCGAAACGGAGATGGACAGGTTCGGGGTGAGCATTTGAAAGACGCAGATCTTGCACGCGTAGATGTTGACCGTGAGCGTCTTGCTTTTGAGCGTGAGAAGGCAGTTGAAGACCGTGCTGATCGAGGGCGAGAGCGCGATGAGCGCAGACAAGAGCGCGAAATAGAGCGACGTGAACGCCGTGAGGAGCGTGTAGAGCTCCAAAAGTTAGAGCTTGAAAAGTTCAAGGCCATGATAGATGCATTTAACCGAAACAAGTAAACTTTAAAAAAAGTGCCTCGAAGCCTTTTCAACCGCCCAGAGCACCATTGCACGCCTTACAACACCCATATTAATGCTGTAGATACTGTTAAACGCCATAAAACCGTTTTGGGCAAAACTTTCCGTCGGTGACACATCATTCGCCTTTGTGAAAAACATATTCCTCAAGAGTTAGAGGGGTACATTTGAAGTAGCGGGATATCTGGTTCGGATATAGGCAGTTCCGAAAGTTTGACAGTATCATAGAGGATAGGTAAAGCAGTCCAATGGGTGCCTCGTTGATCTTCATTTTGCGCTTGAAGTCCACGGTCGCGAAGTGCATCTTGACCTCCTTCAATATCCATTCGACGGTTATGCGCACTGCAGACATAGACGTGTTGAAAGCTCGCTGGGCTGGAGAGAGGTTCGAACCTTGAAAAGGGACCTCCATAAACCATCTGGGGTTGTATCCAGAGTCACCGTATAAACTGTATCTTACACCGTTCGCCTCTAGGACCGAAGGAATTGTTTCGGCAAGCTCGCTTCGTATATACAAGGTCCAATCATGGCGGCGCCCTTCTAGTGGACCGTAGACATGCTGAATCATGCCGTCAGGCGTATTTACAGCCTGGTACTTTAGCGCGTGCTTCTTCTTGTGGCCGTTATACACTACTCGTTGCGCTAAATTACCCTTCCGGCGAGCTATAGCCAGCACTGTGCCGTTAATAAAGCCAACACAGTTGTCCATCGCGCTTCCTTTCGCATAAATGGCCTCTGCGTACATCGGCAATCTCTCTTCCATAAAGTCTTTGTCCAAGGGAGACGTAATCAGATGCTGTCGTTCCTGCACGACGTGCTCAACAGCCTCCTAAATAATCTCGGATAGCTGTGGCGCATGTTTGCAAAACAAAAGCTCCATGTCAGTCCACCTCGCAGGTGTCGCCAGCCGTTTCAATACAACGCAGCAAGACAGAATTGGTGTGACTGAGTACCGGTTGCGACGAGTGCAGGCCTTTTCCAACGGCCATCCCATCACCTTCATCATTTCTATGAGGTGCTCTGAGCGAAATCTAAAATGCAGAAGACACTCCAGGTCGCTAAACGTATTGAAATTGAATGTAAAATCAGTTGTAGAGATACGGTTGCGGTGAGTAATGCAGTGTATGCAGTCACTGCGGTGGTGGACGTACACTCCGGTAACTTGGAGAAGAAGGCGGGTGGAAGATGGTAGAGACGCTCGATTGCGTTGTCGACGTCGCGCAATGGCTTGCAGCACGGCACGAGATTCGGAACACCGTTTTCTTGCCGCACTTGTGGCGTAGTCCTTTTGTCTGCATGGAGCCATGTTTGCAGTGGTGAGGCACTCGCGTCGTCCACCCCAGCCGACCCGTGTGTATGTAATACTCGCTGTGATACCCATGTGCCTTCCGGTTTATTGCAGCGTAAGCCCTATTTCAGATTTCACACATTACATTTCTGTATCACATTTCAGCATTCAGGGTTGCTGAAATTTGCAAATTAATTTCTCATTTTCTTTTTGGCGTAAGCTCTATAATGCCAAATTGTAATTCAAATGCAGGGGTTTCTCGGTGAACACAGGTTATCATACCTTGCATTGCTGTCAGACAGCTGTCCAAGACAGAGATCAAGTCGACGCAGCCGACGATGCCCAACAGTTAACGGATCAACACTTCCGACATACAGGGGGGCGACGCGCAATAGTGCCGCTTTCATTATTGCCACCCTCAAATTAGTGCCGCAAAAACCGGCAGACACAAGTTCTGCCACGTGTCATGCACGAAGTCGTCATCGCCCACTCCTCATGCGCCTCAGCTCAATTGGTGATGGCACCTCACTCAAAGACCCTAACATGATTCCTGAAAAGATCGCCAAAGCGAAGCGTACGCGCCTTACGATTGCACAGAAAATCGAGGTTGGGCATCTGCTGCAGGTCGGGAATGCGAATACCACAGTTATGCGTCAGTTCAAAATTTCAGAGCGAACCATCCGAAACATCAAACGCTCTCTTCCTTCACTTCAACAAATTGTGACCAACACCGCTACAACGCTCGGAACAAAGATTTTGCACCCTGCGATGTGGAGGAATGGATTGAGATCGAGACTAAGGAGCTTGTGGCAGAAGCTTCTATTAGTGATGCTTGCGATTCAATACATTATGGTGGAGAGCTACAGAATCAGTCTGCCAGTGATGCTATGATGGATGATTGTGTGTGGCAGAAGGCGATTGTGAAATTACGGAGAGGCGGGCCGTACCGAGTGCTGTAGTGCTAGCAAGGTTGTTTGGGTCTTTGGAGAGTCTGGGTGTGGAGTGCGATGTGAGCAATGCCTTATCGCACTTGAGGTCCGCAAAACGAGCTTTTCTAGAAGCAAGGCAGGAGAGACAGGGTCAAAGGCAACAACAGCAGACTCTAATAACAGAGTTCTGGCCGGCTAGTGTTTCTGCCATCTGATTGTGCCGCTCCGAATTAGTGCCGTATTATTAGTCCTTACACGGGGCGGCACTAATGTGAAGGGTCGACTGTACTGCACGGATCCTTTCCGTGTTATTCGAGTGAAACGCAAGGGCACCAACACAACCACAACGAGGATGCAGTTCGTCATTTGCGCTGTGCAAAACGCGCGTTGCTGACTGCACGTGCTGAGCAGAGTCGTTCCAAGAGGCGCCAGACGCTTGTAAATGAGTATTTTGTGTGACCCCATTCATTAGTGCAAGATACGAGTATTGCATGTTGTTGGAACTTTACATGGGAGAGCACTACTCGATGATGTTGACAATACTGATTACTAATCAGTAAGGCGGGAACGTGGCAAGGTATCGCTACGGTGTGGCGGCGTGATTTGTAAACTCTCTCGACGAATAAGACAGTGCGAAGCGGCTGGCCACGGGGGCGGAGGTTACGGAGGGGATGGGATCTCGCGAGCGCGGGCGGTGTTCATTGGCTCATGCCCAGCGCAGGCCTACAGTGCTCCCACGCGCCGTGCCGCGTGCTAATAGGAGGGCGCAGACGCGGCCCTTTTTTTATATATGCACACAATAAAGCGCGCTCTCATCGCTGCCCGGCTTGAAATATACCCTTCGAAGGGTATCTGCCGCAGAGTCGATCCATGCGCAATTGGATCCGACCCTTGAAACGGCAGCCGGTGCGACACGCATGCCAGACATGGGATCAACGAACCGAAGTGCCGCTGCCGATATGAAACGGCAACACCTCCCCCCCCCTCCCCCGCCTCCCCCACCTCCCCACTGCCCTATAAAAGCCGACCTCGACCCCTCCCCTTTTCCCGCTCACCGGGCACCTCTCTCCCCGCCTACAAGAGCTCCCCTTCAGAACTGTCTGCATTACCACCTCACCTCCTCTCCACCTCGCACTCCATCCCCGTTCCCTGACGTGCTCCACCCTCCCCGACGTGCTCCACCCTCCCTGCTGCCACACCCTCCCTGCTGCCACACCCTCCCTGCTGCCACACCCTCCCTGCTGCCACACCCTCCCTGCCGCCACACCCTCCCTGCCGCCACACCCACGCGCCATGCCCGCTACTGAAGAGAACGCCGTCGCGCGGGCCGCGCCTGCCGCACCGCGCGCGGGCCACCCGGACGGCCACAAGACCATCGTCCAGACGCCCGATTTAGAGTACCCCGTCGTGTTGCACACGGTCGTCGTTAAGGACGCGCCCGCCGCACTCAAGTGGTACGAGGGAGCCCTGGACGCCAAGGTGGTGAGCCGGTACGACGACGCGGACGGCCGCGTGCTGCAAGCCGTGCTCAAGACCTCGTACGGCATGATGATCGGCGTCGAGGACCACTAATCCTAAGATGCACATGGTCGCGCCCGTCATCGACGGCCAGTCCGGGGGCGAGGGTGACGCCCCCGCAAAGGGCTCGTCCTACGTCTATATCTCGCTCCCCATCGGCCTCGCCAACGCAGATGGCTGCATCGAGCGGATGCGCGAGGCCGGCGCAACCGTCATCCTCGAGCCCGAGGACAAGTTCTACGGCCAGCGCCTCGGACAGGTCGTCGACCCATACGGCGTCGCATGGGCCTTCACGCACAAGATCGACCCAGCGAAGAAGGACGCCGACACCAAAGCTGCAGACAAGGAGGAGTGAAGACAGAGCGCTGGCGGAAAGGCTGCCGCGAGAAGATGCCCTGTGGTCATCAGTAAATGAAACCCGCTTTTTTTGCGACTCTTTGTGTGACATGGTACGAGTCACGGCACCCGCCTGGTCACCGTGCGCTGCCCCATACTATTATCCCGTCACTGCTGTTTCCAGACGGGCTCTACAGAGCGTGAGACTCCAAGCGAGCCGCTCCTCCCCCGAGCAGGGCCTCCCGATGCGGCAGGGCAGGAGGCCTGCGGAGGGGAGCAGCGGTGCCCGCCATGTCAGAGGCAGGGGGTTTGCGACTCAGCGCCAGCGCGTGACGGCCGTCCGCGAACGGCTGCGCCGTTCCAGGGCGCGAGCCGAGGTGCGCGCCGCCGGGCGCTACACCGGGGACGGTATTTAGTGTCAGCGCTAAATTAGTGTCACCACGTAAATAGTGTCACTGACACTAATACATGTCAGAGCCCGGGACGACGACGGATCAATCCAGACATAAAACAATCCTTCCTTTGAGCCGGACCCATCTCACTGCCGGTCCGGAGGGATGGTATTGGTATGCGATTCGTTCGGTTTGTTTCGGGAGCACTAATTTGTGCGCGGGAGTGGAGATACGCAGGCATTCATTACTGAAAAGCGATTTGTACTAAGAACAGGTCAACTGGTCGGTCTTTGGTCTGGTGTATAGGAAAAGGTTGGGCGATGCAGAGTTGTAACAAGGGGCATCTGCGATAAGGAAAGAGGAGGGGGGGCCAGCGTCAGGACT